GACACGTCCCAACATCTCTACAACAAACCGTGGTCCTGCATCTGGTGAGGAACCATGGTTGGAGGTGGTCCCTCATCAGAGACATCCCAGCACCCCTTGGCCAACCCTGGTCCTTCATCCAGCGAGGAGCCATGGTTCAAGGTGGACCTTCAACAGAGAAGTCCCAGCACCCCGTGGCCAACCGTGGTCCTTCACCCAGTAAGAAGACACATCCCAGTACCTCCACAACCAACCATGGCCCTGCATCTGGTGAGGAACCATGGTTCAAGTTGGACCTTCATCAGAGTCGTCCCAGCACCATGGTCCTGCGTCCAATGAGGAGCCACGGTTGGAGGTGGACCCTCATCGGAGATGTCCCAGCACCCCATGGCCAACCGTGGTGCTGCACCCAATGAGAAGCCACGTTTGGGCTTGAAAACCATTGGAGACGGGTCCTGGTGGTCTCTCAACCACCTTCTCCACCCCTCGGTCCTGTGTCCATCAAGGAGCCACGGTTTGTTGTCCAACCCCATCAGACGTGTCCTGGTGCCCTCTCAACCATCATCCTCCAACCCCAGCTTCTGATGCCCATCATGAAGCCACGTTTTGGGGTTGATCCCACTGGAGATGTGTCCTGCTGTCCATCAAGGACCCACATTTTGGTTGACCCCCATTGGAGATGTTTTCTGGTGCCCTCCCAACCGTCCTCCTCCAACCCCAGGTTCTGGTGACCATCAAGAATCCACATTTTAGAGTTGACCCTCACTGGAGACGTGTCCTGGCGCCCTCTCAACAATCCTACTCCAACCCCATGTTCTGGTACCCATCAAGAAGCCATATTTTGGGGTTGACCCCTATTGGAGACGTTTTCTGGTGCCCTCTCAACCATCCTTCTCCAACCCCAGCTTCTGGTGACCATGAAGAAGCCACATTTTGGAGTTGATCCCACTGGAGATGTGTCCTGGTGCCCATCAAGGACCCATAATTTGGGGTTGACCCCCTTTGGAGACGTGTCCTGATGCCCTCTCAACCCTCCTCCTCCAACCCCAGATTCTGGAGCCAATCAAGGACCCAAGTTTTGTGGCAGACCCCACTGGAGATGTTTTCTGGTGCCCTCTCAACTTTCTTGCTCCAACCTCATGTTCTGGTGCCCATCAAGAAGCCACGTTTTGGGCTTCATCCCACTGGAGATGTCTCCTGGTGCCCATCAAGGACCCACATTTTCGGCTGAGCCCCACTGGAGACATTTTCTGGTGCCCTCTCAACCATCCTCCTCCAACCCCAGGTTCTGGTGACCATCGAGAAGCCATGTTTTGGGGTTGAGCCCACTGGAGACGGTGTCCTGGTGCCCTCGCAACCATCTTCCTGCAACCCCAGGTTCTGGTGACCATCAAGGACCCACATTTTGGATTGACCCCCTCTGGAGATGTTTTCTGGTACCCTCTCAACCATCCTCCTCCATCCCCAGGTTCTGGTGACCATCAAGAAGCCACGTTTTGGAGTTGATCCCACTGGAGACATGTCCTGCTGCCCATCAAGGACCCACATTTTGGTTGACCCCCATTGGAGACATGTCCTGATGCCCTCTCAACCATCCTCCTCCAACCCCATGTTCTGGTGACCATCAAGAAGCCATATTTTGGGGCTGGAGAGTTTTTCTGGTGCCCTCTCAACCATCGTGCTCCAGCCCCAGGTTCTGGTGACCATCAAGAAGCCACGTTTTGGGGCAGCCCCTCACTGGAGATGTATCCTGGTGCCCTCTCAACCATCTTGCTCCATCCCCATGTTCTGGTGCCCATCAATAAGCCACGTTTTGGGGTTGATCCCACTGGAGACATGTCCTGGTGACCATCAAGAAGCCACGTTTTGGGGCTGA